AATTTTAAAATTTTAGAATAGATTTAAAATGAAATAAAAGAAAATATTGAAGAAAAAAGATTAGTTATGAATATATCGCCTGTTTTGACAAATAAGTTGTAACTGGAGACGAGGAAAATACTAAATTGTAAATCTGTGTAAATTTTAAAAACTAAGGGATCGCTATGAAAAATAATTGTTTCTGTGAAACTATTTTAAAAGTTACATATACTTTTTGTATGAAAAATGAAAAATTCGGTAATCATAAGAAATACTATGTAATAGCTAGAATAAGTACTATGTAAGAATTATGCTTTAAATGAAATTTTTTGCTCTAGTGCAATGTACTCATTTAATCTCAATAACGATGAAAACACTATTGTGTTGGTTTTATTTTAATATAGTTCATTTAAACACTGTAGTACTTTAAAAATAAAATCTAAAGAAAATTACGAAACTGTTATCATTGTATCCCACGTTTCGAAAATACGAAATTCTCGAAGTTCAATCTCAAAGAAATCAAGAATATATTGTATGTCTTGGAAGTATACTATTCGCATAATATTGTATACATTAGAATTTTGTGATTTTTTTTTGTTTTTTTTATACTTGAACGATTATCAAGCATGTTCTTTAGTTTGGAAAATCCTTTCATTCTATTATAATAATAAAAATCTTACGTTTTATATTAAATCTTAAAATAAATACACGTATATACATATAGAATTATTGCATGTATGGAAAATTTTTCTTATATAGATTATTACAATGAAAATACGTGTGAAAAATAAAATCAAAAGTGCCTTACATGAAATTTCCAATATAAACACACGACAACTAACATACATAAAATACATTATATTGAGAAAAAAAAAGTGAACAATGAAATTGAAATATTTAAAAGTGTCAATATCATGCCTCCACTTTTTTTGTATAACAACACTTATACGTATACGTATATATACTAAAATAAATATCACGACTTACAAATATACCTAAGAATATAAGCCTGTCATTCCAGAGCATGTATGAGTAATAGAAAAAGGAAAAGAAAAAAATTCTTAAACATAATATAAAAAAAAAACAAAAGGAATGGAAAAATCCAATAAGAAAACAATGTGAAACAATAAAAAGGAGGGGATAATATATAAAATTGTTAACCTTCAGGTGATGACTTAAAGTGTCCCAGAGAGAATGAGATAGAGTAAAAAAACCAAATATATGTATGAAATCTATACGCACATTATATATTATGTAGGTAAATTTTTTATTTCCATGTGATAGATACAATGTTTTACAAAATTAAATATTGGCAAATTTCAGTTATACGTATGTAATACGTTATATACGTAAATATCTATATTTATATTTTTTATACGATTATTGAAAATATTTATATAAATAGACGCTTGTAAGAAATTTCATAGGAATTTACTTTTGATTTTGTTGGATATTTGAAGCCCTCTCATAATTTGAAATAAATATTTGATTTTAGTTGTATAACACTTCGTAAAATCACAATGTCATATTTTGAATTATTGAATTTTGAGCTAGTATTTTTAAATGGATTTTGATAATAACACGTAGTTAATATTTAAATAAGTATAACAGTTTAGAATTTTGATTTCTTTTTTCATTTTAGAAAAGTTTTGAAATGGAAATAATTTGATTTAATTGATAATACGGACACTCTGAAAAATTTATTATAGAAATAAAATAGAAAAAATGTAGTTAAAGTAATCTGTTATATTAATAAAGTTTCCTTCAAATAATGAAAGTGTCCTTTTTGTTATCATTCAAATATTAAAATTCGATATTATTTATGATGATGAATTTTTGAAATTTATATGAAATCAATAGATTTTTCTATGAAGTTCTTCATGTGATCATTATATTATGTGTACATTTCTTGTTGTGTTTATGTTCGAAATGTTTAAATATTTAAAAACCCTGTAAAATGACTTTTAAGAGAACACAAAGCATATCTATTCATTTGATGCAATATCAGGATTCTATACTCATAAAAGTAAACAATTTTGAAATTCTGAATGACAATGAATTTATTGATGTGTTAAAAATGATGTTAAGATTTCAATAGAAATAATTTTTTTGTTTCTATATTTAAATCATTGTTTTCGATATCTAACAATTTGTAAAACGAAATTTATAATAGAATTTTAGAACCAAAATATGCTTTAATATAGTATAAGCCTATGAATATGACAAGTGGTTTTTAAATTTAAATTAAAATTTACTTATGTAGTAAATTATGTAGTAATAATAAAAAAACATGATAAATATATACCCTTCTAATAAAAGGGAGAATATAAAATAATAACCTATTTCAAAATTGATTATTTTTTAGCATTAAACATGTGTCTAAAAAACGAATTAAATTTAACTATAAGTAGAATATTCTTGTATTTACGAATTTCAAAAAGTGATAATTGGAGAGGAGGTAGAGATGGAAATTTTTTTCTAACGAAATTAACTCTTTATTAGTGTCTAAAATCTGTTAACAACCTGCGGTCTAGGAGAAAAACGATATAAAAAATTTGGAAAAAACGAATTTTATATATTATAGCGCTAAATTTTAACGACCATTTTATTTTTTAATGTTCCAATAATGTGGTATGTTACGATAGAAAAAGCCAACCACGACTTTTCTGCAAAATTTAAAAATTCCTTATGATGTCGCTACAATGAGTTGTCCAGAACAGACAAATGGACGTAAAAAATTGACGTAAAATCTTTTGATGATGAAATTTTGATGTCTTGATCTTATGAATTTCAAATTGCATTACAACTACCAAACATTGTCATGCAGTTACGATTTCAATAGTTCAACATTAGAATCAGTTGGTATTTCGCACCCCAATATTTTAAAAATTTTCTCCCAATATTTTAAAAAATCCTTTTTTTCTCATTTAATATTTCATTTCGATCATTGAATTATTCAAAATATTGTCCATTCTCTTCCTTTTTCAATACATCACGTTTAATGTGAAAATATAAAAATCTTTTGAAAGAAAATCAAATTTTTTACATATCTACAAATATATGTATATTATACGCGTACAACATTATCTATAAAGAAATGAGAATATTAAATAAAAATTAAAAAAAAAAGGATATTATGTTAAGTACTTAAAAGCCTTAAAATTTTCAACTTTTATCTGTTTTCCCCTTATTTTTGATTATTTTATTCTTTTCTATATTTGAACATGACAAGGGTTGATAACCCAAAAACTAAGAAGAAAAAGAGATAAAATGAAATATGTATAAATAATAAATAAAAAAAAAAATTAATATAAACTATCCCTAGTTTTGTCTCAGCAACAACCTTAGTTCTAATAATAATTTTAAATATATGTGTATCAACTTATTATACATGATAGCTGAAAATGATAAATTACAACTCCATTTTCTTTATATACATATTTATATACAAATACTAATAGATATTCATGAGATTTTACCGTTTCTTAAATAATAATGTTATTATAAATGCGTTTATATATACATAAGAAAAAGGACATTTTTTATTTTGTTTGTTTATATTACAATCTAAATACCCATAAAATGTAAAGTATTATGTAAATTAATATACATATGCACATACATATTAACTATATGTATATATTTGGAAAATAAATAAAACTACAGTTTTTTTCTCTATTTAGAGAGATTAACATTATTTGATCTTAAAATAATTTTTTTTTTTCAATGAAATCTATAGAATATTTGTTATCTTGAGGCAAAAAGAATACCATATAATAAATTCGTACCAAAAGGATTCATTTCCTTCTTTTAGTTCATTTAGAAATAAAACAGTAAATATAATCATATAAAATAAAATCTAAAACTTTTTTAATATAATATTATATAAGATAGTTATGCTTAAAATTTCATCCCCTAATGTAGGAAGAATTAAATGTAAAATGTAGGTAGTATATCCTGTATAGATACTTATTTAAATTATTTCCTAAATTAACTTTATGAAAATACTTTTAATGTTACCATTAAAAATATGTCATCGCACTAAGTGTATGTATATCATAATATAATTATAAATAGAATAGCGCATTTCATTTAGTGTAATATATATGTACATATGGATGTTCCGTTATTTTACCATATTACCCATTGCATTGCAAAAAGATGTCATTTAATATATTCGTTCTAGGTAAGCGTAAATAAAATATTTTTAGCTAGATGTCGGTCTGTGAAGCTATTCGAATATCTCAAGTTCGGCTGGAAGAATTTTTATGAAAATTTATACCTGAATTTACTTTAGTTATCGGGATTCATAGAGAAATTAATAATCCAAATACCTTGAAATTTAATATTTAAATGTAGTGTATTGAAGGCATGAAATAAGAACTTTCACTAGAACCCGAGCTTAAATTTTTTGACCTATCTTAAGAGCTAATTGACAGGATTTAAAATTTAAGTTCTGGTTTATTTGATTTATTTTTGTAGTCAGCAAATACCACAAACACGAGATTCACTGACAAAAAATGAGCAAATTCTCTTAAAGTTTCGCTATTGAAATATGTGTATGAAATTTGACAATGTTGCAACATTAAAACTACAGGTGAAAAAAAATTAAGTTCTACTTTTTAAAAATCCATTCAAAATAAAGTTTTTCCACTCCTTTGTCTTAATACAAAGGGAAATTTTTTGTGAGTTCCGACATCGGTAAAAACGAGGAAAAAAAAAATTTCACTAAAGTAAAGGACTTGATAATTTTGACGTCATTCAAGTAAAAACATAAAAATAAAAGCATGAAATTAATAATTTTTTGTAAATAATTTGTAAATTATTTTTTTTTTTATGTAATCATAAATGTATTTTTGTTGATGTGTTCTGCATGCATGTACAAAATGAATATCATTTTTTAATTTTCTCTCTCTTTTAAAAGAATAAAACAATTCATTTATTTTTTAATATGAAAAAAAGAATTTGTCTTTTTTTTTTTTTGTTTGGTTTTTAATCTACAATTTCTTTTTATCAAATAGATGAAACATGTCGCTCTGATGAATTTACATGCGGCAATGGTCGTTGCATACAACGTAAATGGATTTGCGATAAAGATGATGATTGCGGTGATGGTACTGATGAAAAAGATTGTCCCGCTCAAGAATGTAATCCAAAAGTAGATTTTACATGTGCTGATGGTGCCTGTGTATCAAAGAAATGGAGATGTGATGGTGATCCAGATTGTCCTGATGGTTCAGATGAACATGTAAGTAAAATTGAATTTTTGTTTTTTAATTATATTTTGAAGAAAATACTTTTCTGTTTCAAAAAATATTTTTGCACATCTGAAATTTTTGGCAATTACTATTTTCCTTTGTTATCCGTTTAGGTATAGATTTTATGAAAATTTTCAATTTGAAATAAATTCGTGATAAATAATTTACATACAATAATATTATGGGAAATAGGAGAAATTTCAGCACTTGTAGATTGATAAAATGTTGTTTCTCATATTTGTACTCTTTCATAGTCTTTACCGTTGCAAACTGTACAAACTAAGAGTGAAAAGATATTTAAAATGAATGTAGATTTTATTCATTCCGGGCGCTTCACACATAAAATTCCAAATATTTCTCCTATACATTTCCAAATAAGAATATATTTATAAATATATGAATAAGAATATTTTTAGAATATAAAGTGATAAAATATTTATGTAAAGAATGGTTTCGTATTAGGAATGTGTAATTTGTTTTACAAAATCAATTTAAATTTATAAATTTATCAGTTCAATATTATTATCTTTAATGTAACTATTTAATTATTTATTTGTATAACAAATGTATCAGGGAACAAAAGTACGAGTGCATTCATATCATTATTTTAAAGTAAAGGAAGAAAAACAAATAAGGCAAGCAAGTTTAATAAGGAACTTTAAATGGAAATTTCCCAAAAGATTCGATATAAATTTAAAAAGAAACCATAAAAAAACTAACAAGAAACTGAAAATTCTCATAAAGGATTATTATCCAATAAAAGTCCAATTTTCACTAGGAAAATAAAACAAAACAGAACAAATGAAAAAAAAAACACACACACACACAAATTGGAAACTAGACAAGTGAACAATGAACAAAATAAAAGTAATAACGATGAAAGTCATAAAAAAAAATAACAAAAAAAAAACTTAGAAAACAATAGAAGTGTTAGAGTCATCGAAAATTCGATTTATTGTATATTTGAAATTCGATTCGATTAAATTTATTCCTTTTTCAATTTTTTTCTTTTTTTTTGTATTTTCTCTTATTACTTTACTATATACTCTTTCTAATGTTGCTTAGGTTTCTATATACAGATAATTTTATTATGGGTCATAAAAATTGGACTCAAGAAATAAAAATAATAAAAGGATTTAATAGGATTTATCATCATTACATATATTTACACATTATACACTTACATATGTATATATACTATTGCTATATCGTATAAATTGCGGAATTTATATACGTTAATGTTTGCACGTAAAACATAGATTAATATTATAAGAAAGAAATTATGACTGTTCTATTTTTAGGCAATTGTCTAATTCTTTTTATTTTAAATAAATATATTTACAATGTATGTATACACATATGTATATGTGATATATATATGTATATGTGTAATAACGAATTTTACGTTTCTGCACGAGAATTACTTATAACTTTATTTATAAAAAGTAATATTCGACTATGCGTATAATTATAACGGGATTCAAAAAGGATTCTTATAGTTATATATTAAAATTTATAAGTGTTTGTAGACATATTTAATTTGAAGCATAGTGTTAGTGCAGTAGTAAATTCGTTTTGACCATTCCACATGATTTTAAATTAAAAGTCAACTTCAAGTACTTCAAGTATTTATCATAATCTCCTAGATTCTAAAAATCAATATAAAAACCATAAATTTTTTTTTAATATCTACATATATTAAATATAAGTGAAATATGTTTTAATTCTATAAGAAAAAAACATTATTACCTTGAATTTAACAAGAAAAACAGAATTATTAACATTTTTGTAATGAATTTACATAAATTATTCTATTTAAAGGAATTTTCGCAGGGTCAAACCAATGGTTCGTATTGTAGTACTTTTCCCTTCAACAAGTGAAAATACTGCTTTTAAAATACAGTCTATGTGTACCTAGCACATTGCATATTAAAATTATTTTCATTCATAAACGAAGCTATTTCTAGGATTGCATATATTTAGGATGAACGTTTTATGCAGTCTTTGAAAAAAAGCAAGAATTAATTTAAAGAGGGCTTAACATAACGCTCGATTTTAAGGGTTGATTGTGTGAGTTAAGAAAAATTGTTATATGTTTTAATGTCACGGAAATTATCGTTAGCCTTTTGCGTTTATGGAAATTTGAAAAAACTTGCGTTTTTGGAAATATAAAGCGTCAAAAATTCAAATTTTTTCAAATTTCAAGAAGCGAAAAATTGAGAGGGGGTGGAGATAAGAAAAACAATTTCCCTCAAACGAAAAAAACTATTTATTAGTACCTAAAAGCTGGGATATAGAAGAAAAACGACATTAAAAATTTGGAAAAAAAGGATTTTAGATAACAGTAAATTTGAACGTCCATTTTGCTTGTTTTTAAGTTTAACTATAGTATGTCCCGATGGGAGAAGCAAGCCACTGCCTTTCTACGTTTGCAAAATTTGAAAAATGCTCATGGTTTCATTGCAACAAATAGTTCAAAAAGGCCATTTTTAGGGTTTTTGGGAGGGGGGGTACAACTTCTAGAGAGGGGAAGATAGGTAAAAATTTTCTTCTACAGAAATAAGTTTTTAGTAAAGATCTGAAAATGCGCATATAAAATTTCAGCTTTCTATCTTCAATGGTGTAGAAGTTTTGTAAAGATGTCCACGGACGAACGGACGGACGGACAGAGTGAAACTAATAAGCACTTTTTTTCAAAAAATTCTTGGAAAAGTGCTAAAAAGCAGATGATGCTAAATGAATGTATTAAGACTTAGTGATTGTAAATGTTCACCTTTATAACCTTGAAACTTATTTTGCATTGAAAAATATTTTGACATAACAATTTTTAAAGTGAAAAATTCTTGTTTTATGTAAAAAATTTTTTTCTTTAAATGTTTGATTTTTTTCTTTTCTTTTTTCTTTTATACTGTATTCTGAAAGAATTTTGTAATCTTTAGAACATGAAAATTTATAAAAAGGATTAGAATAAAGTTTTCTATTAAAGAAAAATGTTATTTTTTCCATAAATTTAAATAATTTAAAAAAAAAATTTCTCGTGTTCTTTAAAAATTTTTTATTTTCTCTTTCTCTCCCTACACTTTTTGTGTGTGTGTGTGTGTGTGGAAGAAATAATAAGAGACATTTATCTTTTTTTTTAAACCAATTATGACACTTCTGTCATATTCATTTCTCTTCTATATTTTAAAGTTTGCATCATTTATTTTTTTCTTTTTTTTTAATTCTGTTATTTCAACCATATTATTTTTACCTAGAAATTTATCTAAATATATAGGGATGCAATAATATAATAAATTATTTTATGGGTGGTGTACAGTAATGGTATGAAAGCATTAATATAGGTGAAAAAAAGTAAAGTTTAAAGAATTTTTGCTACTCATTTATCAAAACATTGCGAAAATATTAAAAAAGAAAAATTTAATATTTGAACATTAAAACTTTAGGATACAATTTCTTGTTTTAACTTGTGTTTCCTTTAAAAATATTTACATTTAATCTTATATATATACGCATGTTCTATAATCTTATAGAACTGATAGTTTGCAAAAACAAAAATTGTTAGATAGGAACTAATAGTATGAAGTTTCACTTAAAAAGTTAAGGACTTATGAAAAACAGCTTCATTATTCTCTTTATCACAAAATGTTCTCTGATTGCATATTTTTAGGAGAAGACTTTTAAAAATATGATTTTAACAATATGATATTATTGCTATTAATTAGGTAGGTTAAAAATATGCCTTCTTACAAGTGAAAGAAGAATTTTTAATACTATTTTGCTTTTATAGAAATTTTATAAAGTTTATGGTTTTGAAGAAAACAACTTTTGAAAATCTAAATTTATTGGAAACATTTCGTTACAAATGTATTCTAAAATTTAGGTTTCAACTTAAAATTTATAATACGTTTACTAATTCAATATTAGAATTACTTTGATTTTCTTCTACTCCCATTGAAATTTTTTTGTTTGCTATCGCATAGCTATCTAAAAGGAAAATAAAATGAGACCTAAACGGAAATATAATGAAAAATGATCCTTTAAAATTATGTTTAATGGTTGTTGCTTTTATTTTAATTTTCTCCATATTTCTTTCATTTGTGGACATTTTCTTTTCCGCCAACTGTTCTTTGTTTTTATCAATATTTTTCTAATATGTTCTAGTGGTTTGTTTTAACTTTGTTTTTGTTCAGAGTTTTATTTTATGGGTGGAAAGTAGGATGTTTTCTTTTCTTTACTTATTCGTCTTGTTTTTTTTTTGTTTCTGTTGTTTCCTCTTTTCAATCTTCAATTACAGTTTTTTTTTCTTTTTACTTTTTGTTTTTCTTCCTTATTTTTGTTTTATACCTTTTCAAAGTCATTTAAATTTAAAGTAAATATTTCTTTTTAAACTTTCAATTGTTCTGAGTTCCTTAGCTTGGATAGGTTTTTTTTTTCTTTTCTCTTTTTTTGCCTTTTGTAAGTCAAATTTCATTTTTTTGTTTTTTGTTTTTCTTGTTCTTCAGCATAATATGTGTGTGTAATTTTGAAAGGAAGAAAAATTTTTTTCGGTATGATTTCATTGTTAAATTATTTGAATGCTTTTAAGTTTAATTTTTTTATTTGAGTTATGAATTTATTTTGTCAAAATAAGAAAAAAAAATCAAAAATGAAGATGAAATGAAAATCAAATAAGAAAAAAAAACTTTTATACAAAAGATTTAAAAAAATTTTTTTTTTCTTTTGCAATTCCTGTTCTTCACTGCTGCAATATTTAATTTTAATTATGGTTGTGTGTTATTCAAGTTGTGATATTATTCAAATAATATCATGCTCATCATTTAATTAAAAATAAAGAAAGAAAACATCAGAGAAGAATATTTCGCGTAGGACGTAGCGTAAAAATACATTTAACATTGTGAATGAATGACATATTTAAGTGAAGAAGAATATTTCGTATATGTAACAACAAAATAGCGTGTATTCCTATATACATATATCAGAAAATGAGTGCCCTAGTAATTTTAATTAAAAAATCTTATTCTCAATCACTCATTTGTAAAAAGTTAGATAAAATTTTATTAATTTCGTTTGAAATCTAAAATGTCAGCCAACCAGAAATGGAATGTATTTGTAATATTTATTTGAAGAACATGTACATATATAAAAGCTTCACCCAAGAAAATAGTCATTTAAAAATTACATGAAATATGCATAGGTATTTTTTTTTCAATTTTAATCGAATAATATATCAATAAGCGTATACGTATATGTGTACATATGTGTGCTATTTGAGAAATATTTTTCCAAATTTCCTTTTAGCTTTATAGAGAGTAACACCTTTTATATTGTTTTTATCAGCAACTGCGTCTATATTAGCTTTTTTATTATGCGTATGCGTTTGCCTTTTTTTCATAAAAAATATAACAAAATTTACAATTTAGAGAAAAGGAAAAATTGTAACTGTACGCGTATTGCATTTTTCTTAATTTTTTTTTCCCATTTAAATCTACCAATTAAGTAATTTTTATTCTCTTGTTCCAAAACAAAAACAAAAAAACCATTTTTTTTTTAAAAAATCAAATTTTATTTTGAACATCACTTCAAAACTTGAAAAATTTCCATGAAAACAAGAAAGTATGCTAATTATTATTATTCTAGAAAATATTCTATATAAATAAATTCTTGTCCTTCAAAAAAAAAACAGAAAAGAAGATAACAAAAAAAAATAAAATAAGAGAAATAAGAAAAAAAAGGAAAAATTGCAAATAAAAGAAGAAGAACAAAAAAAAATAAAAACAAAAATTAAATTCTCTTAGTAATTGAAAAATTTTCTTCAAGCAAATTTATTCAATATTGTAATTCCGTAACGACAACAAAACAAAACTCAAAACAGAATCGCGAGCATATTCTTTTATATTTACACATAAAGTGCCCCCCCGCAAGAGAAAACATTTATTTTCGACCGATGGTAAGCTTTCCATTCCAATTTTTTTTTTTTTAGCTTTTTTCTAATTTAAGATTTAAATTTTAAGCGTTTTATAAATGACATTTAAAAATAACTCAAATAGGTTAAGATATCTTATAGCTGAACTTTCTTGAAACTCGTGTTATTCTTGAATCTTGAGTAATTTTATTTTATAACTTTTATGCAGTATTTTTCTCTTTCGTAAGATACTACTTAAAATTTTAAATATTGTTATTGTAATTAGGTGCATTTCATATACTGAATTCACATATTTATATAGTATCTTGATAGAGTATTAACAGAGCTTTCAGAGAGAGTATTAACAGTATTCGTTTAAAAATATTAATTGATGCAATTCGATATTATCCAATATATTAATTCATAAATCTCGAAACATTTCCTCAAGTCTTCTATATGACTTGAAGCAGGATATTATGTGACACCTTATCTAAACTTATACAAGAAACATATATAAATATAGACATATTTTCGTAGTTGTATATAAACATAGATCTAGTAAAGTATTCCATGAATATATTTATAAAATCTTCCTTATATAAAAATGAATTAATGAATAGCGTCCTTGAATTTAAATAATAAAATATAATAAAGAAAGAAATATTTATGGAATAAAAAAAATATAAAAACAAACACAAAAAAAAAAAAACAACAATGAAAAAATAATGGAAAATTGAATAAAAGCGAAACTCAAATATTAAACTCATAAAGAGAAGGAAGGAATAAATATTGCCCTATTCATTTTCAGTTCTAACAAAAAAATAAAAAAAGGATCAAAATAAAGAGTAATCGATTTGAATCATTTTTACCATTTATTCAATTTCGAAATGTCGCAAAACAATATATACACATAAAAAAAGAATAAAAACAAAGAAAAACGGAAATAAAACAGGTACAAAAAAGAATAGAAATACAAAACAGTTCTTATCCTTTTTTTTTCTCTTATTTATATCCTGTTTTGAGATTTTTATTTTGTTTACTTCCATTATTAATTTGTCCTTCAAAAAAAAAAAGAAAAAAATCAAATCAATTATGCTTTTAATCAACCCAAATCCCAACTCATCTTTATTGCAAACCCTTTCTTTCTTTTTTCTTTTATTTCCAATTTTTTAAGTGGTTTTAAGAATAAGGAGAAAAAAATCATAATGTTCACAATGTCCCTTCTAAATGTTCTAAATTCTATGTTGTAAAACAAGATACAAGAATATGAGTTGTCTATACATATGCACTCTGTAATCGAATTAATAATTGTATTATACAGTTGTGTGTATATAAAATGGCCCTGATTGCAAAACAGTTTCATTTTAAATTTGACCAATGCAGTTTAAATATTTTCTAAGATATTAGATTATGATTAAAAGCTATAGGGCAGCTACCATAAAATTTCAAACAATTAAGATTATATTTTATAATTTTATTTAGAATGTTGTACTCATTTTACCTATAACTCACTTGATGGAAATTTCATTATTATAATTCAAATACCTTTTGAGGCCTATAATAAATTTGTTTTTTAAATTGCAATTCAGTCTGCAAACAGGTGTGTATAGAAAGCTTATATGGAAAGAGTAATTTTGAATTAATATAGATCTGCGAATACCTAAATTAATTATATAAAAACTAAGTATTAGCGACAAGTGTTGCGAACATTTAATATTTTGAGAGTATACGATTATAACTTCGAAATATTGGAACAATTGATTCCTATAATATAAACCTAAATTGTTACACGATTTAAGATTAATTAAAATAATTTTTCTTTTAATAATTTACCAGAGTCAAATGTCAATCATAAAAATTTTTTTAATACTGACTTAAACATAAATGGGAAAAATGTTGTGGTTGAAATTTTGTAAAAGAATGTCAAACTAAACAATTGACATCGTCACAGCAATTTAAAAGAACTAAAAACGGAATAAAATTGCAAAAGGATAAAATTATAAAGAAAAAAATTTTCCATTTCTTTTTTTTCATTTCTCATGAGATTTTTTTTTGCAAAAACAAAAAAAAAGGACGATCATATTTTACTCAAATACAAAATATCAATTTGATAAATTTAATTTTTATCTTTTTACTTAATTACTTGTTCAAGGACATAATTAAACAGGACTTAAAAATTTTTTTTTAAAATAAGAAATTTTTGTTTTAAAATCCTATTTTTTTTTTTAATAAATTTTTGTTAATTAAATTAAAATATGTCCATTAATTTTGGAAAACATAACAGCATTTCTTGGAAAGAAGACAGCAAGAATCATATGGAAAATTTCTTAAATTTCAAAAGGGTTCTAGTAAATTAAGCTTTCAATTATTTTGTATTCTTAAATCTTAAATTCCAATTTCGAATTGTAATGATTTCATTTAAAAAAAGGATAATACGTAAATTAATAATTGTATTAGACCGACTTTAAAATTCTTTTAATGTTAAAACGATTTGGAAATTTGTTAACTTTATTGTTAAATTATAATAGAGTGACTTACATATCATATGATGTCAAAAGAGTACATAGAAATTTAAATTTGCAATATTTAAATATTAAGTTGGTTTTTAGTGAAAATTTCAAAGAAAAATAAAATTTGATTAAGGTTTGTTTCAATGATCTTATTTTAATATGTTATATGTAGCCATGACAATAACTTTAATATTTTATGTTATTATATTGAAATTAAGAGGAAATTAGGTAGACATTTTGAAAAATTTCATAAGAATTTTTAAAATGAAAATGATTTTCTCCATAGAATTTCCCAAAAGAATTTTAAAAGAACCTTAAAATTAAAAAACAAAAAACTTGACATGGCTCGGATGAAGCATTTGTTTTTAGAGAAATTCGTTCGAAAAAACTTTCGTCTTATTAAAATTATTTTTTTAATAAGATTTTCACATTATTTGCGGCATTTTTTGTTTAATTTTCTTAAAACTTATCGCATAAAAGTGGGCTGGTGTTTTAAGAAATGTTAAAGATTTTAAGATGGCAAAATTTTTGAGTAACAAAACAAAAATATTTGTCCATTATTGTTCACAAAAAATAGACTGTTAACGTTGATGAATAATTCTGCCCCTCATAAACTAGTAAAATAATCATTTATTAAAGCTTTTTAATTTAAATTATTAAATTTGAAAAAAAAATATATTTTTACAATATCTCTGACACATTTAATATCCTTTTTGTCGTAAATCACTATAGTTTGAATAAAATAATAATTACACAAAATTTTAATTTACTAAATCAAGGACTACTCGCACTTGTATAATATCATATGGATTTTAATAAATTGCAATTGAAATAAAATATTTTAAAATTATTCATAGTACATTTTATAAAAAATATTATTATTTTATTAATAGAAGCACAATTTAATCATCTGCATATGCATCCGTAATAGTTATTATGTAATTTTATATTTTGTATTATTTTAGAATTGTGGTAATGTAACTCTTATACCATCACCATGTGTTTTCAAAGAATATCAATGTCGTGATCATGTAACATGTTTACATAAAAGTTGGTTATGCGATGGAGAAAAAGATTGTCCGGATGGTGATGATGAAATGGCGCCCAACTGTTTAAATGTAACATGTAGAGCTGACCAATTTCAATGTGCTGACAATACATGTATACCAGGATATTTAATGTGCAATGGCCAATCGGATTGTGCTGATAAAAGTGATGAATTAAATTGCCGTAAGTATTTAAAAATAAAAAATAAAAATTGTAATTCGTTTTTTTTTTTTTTTTCGTTTAATTTTTGAAATCCTGGATAGTATTTTTATTTACCTATATGAGGTATTTTTTGCGAAGAGAATTGCAAATAATTTGTATATAGAAATAACCATTAACATTACCAGGTTGTCTTTCCGTTTTTGCGTGTAGTTTCTAAAACATGAAACTTTGACTTGGAAAATTGAAAGTTTTATAAAACAATGTGAAAAAATATGCCAAGAACTTAAAATTAAATCGTTACAACTATTCTTAATTAAAAATTTAATATGCATTATTTTTGTTAAATATTAACATCGTTAATGGAATATAATTCTATTTTTTTCTATACACTCCCATGAACTCTTTCATTTTAATTCTGTAACTAATTCTATTTTAATTATTAATTATTCTTGGAATCTCAAACTGTAATTAAAGTAATAGGATTTTCCAAGGAAGATTGTTAAAATAACATGGTATTCTAAAGAACATCTATATAGATTTATAGATAAAAGTAATCAATAATGGTAGTTCTGATACTTAGGTTTTGTTATTTTTAGTTATATAAATTATTTCTTAAAATTTTAGATTTGTACACATGTATTTCCGCAATTGCAGAACAATATTAAATTATTATTCTCCAAGAATTTCAAATACTTAAAGAGTTTTTGTGTAGAATTTAAACTGCGTTAGAACTTTAGAGATTGAACGACGAATTTACTTTTATGATCCTGTTAATTTAAAATTTTTATTACTCAATACACGTGTAGCTACAATGAAAGAAGCAAAATTATTCTTAACAAATAATTCAAATTTTGAATTAATTGAAACTTAATAATTTTAACCGGAAAATCTCCTTTTGTTCCCTGGGTTTATATATACATGCTTATATAACAGTAATATCTATAGAAAGCAATTTATTACAATGTAATAACTATTATGTCGTTCAAATATTTAACCATTTTTCGTCGTATATATACGCCAATATAACATTAAAATAAATAATGAATTAATTGCTTGGAAATTAAGAAGCATTAGACTGTAAAATCGACTATAATTCTATAAAAATCATTTAAGTAACGTAAATATTGTTATGCATTACCACACTACACACATCCATGTATAAATATTCGTATGTATTTATATATCATATTATGCACATTTTAATTTAACAACTTTTTAAAAATGGATATGTATTTTTTTCCATTAATAAATAAATTTATGCAAATATATGTTGGTAGATACGACATTAAAATATTCTATAATAAAGTATGTGTGTGTGCACGTATATGCATATTTAAATATGAATTCATATATCCTTATATTAAATTACTGTTATTTTTCATTTTTCCAGATATAGTTAAACCAATATCATGCGATAAAAAAACGCAATTTGATTGTGGTGCTGGATTATGTATACCACTATCAAAAGTTTGTGATAAAAAGAAAGATTGTCCTGATGGTGAAGATGAACCGTTAGATAAATGTAATATTAACGAATGTTCTAAAAATAATGGTGGTTGCTCACATAAATGTGTTGATACACCAAATGGATATTATTGTGATTGCGAAAAAGGGTAAGTAATGATGATGATGATGATGATGATGATTAGGAAAAACAAAATGAAAAAAAAAAGGAAAATCCTTTTAAAGATATTAAGTCATTTTTATTTTATTTCTTTCTTCCCCCGTATAACTGAAATATATATATATATATACATATATATGTATCCAGCCAGAAATATCTAAAATATTATTAAGCTATCTATTATAAGCACATTTTCATTTTGATATTTAAGATTTATCTTTACAATCTTTTATATACCTCGAATATATTAATGTTTCTATTTATACATACACATGGATAGTAACAAAAATGATTAAAATACTTTGGTATTTCCTTATATATTTAAGTATATATTTTCTATATTTCTCATTTATTTTCCACTTATTAACCCTCTATGTACATTAATACAAATATATTCTTCTAACATTACAGATATAAACTTGAAAATAATAAAACATGTGTTGACATTGATGAATGTTCTATACCGGGGTCATGTTCTCAAATCTGTATTAATGAAATTGGTACATTTAAGTGTGAATGTGAGACCGGTTATATGCGTGATCCACGTAATCATACAAGATGTAAAGCAACTGAAGGTCATGCATCACTATTATTTGCAAGACGTCAGGATATACGTAAAATAGCATTAGATCATGCTGAAATGACATCAATTGTAAATGATACAAAATCAGCAACAGCATTAGATTTTGTATTTAGAACTGGTATGATATTTTGGAGTGATGTTTCAACTCAAAGGATATATAAGTAAGTTCTTTTTGAAAAAAAAATTAAATTAAATTATGTTATGATTAAAATTTTGTTAATTAAATAATTGCATCTGGAAAATTCTTTCAATCTCAAAGAATACTGATCGTATATGCAGGAATGATTATTATTTTATTAATATTAATTTTTTGATTATTTACATATTCACATCATAATTATTACAAATAATTGTCCTTTGATATAGATTAGAAACTTTGTAGCATATTTATGATGAAAACTACTGAAATTTTAATTATTAAAAAATAAATCAAAGTTCATAAACATGTAGACTTGCTTTCTACATAAATTGTATAGTTCAAAAATCGAATTAATTAAAATGTATGTGTGTGTATATATATATATAATTAAATTTAATTATATATAATGTTTTACAAAGCCAAGAACATAAAATTTTATAATTGAATAACTTTAAAGAATGAATGTAGAAAATAAAGGGTAAATTTAGTATTAAATAAATTTTCACGTTTATATGCAAAAAATTTAATAAAAGAAGTTTATGTACTGTACATACATACTATACTATATATATACATATATGAATATACATTCATCTTATAAAATAATTTATTATTGAATGAGAATGTAAGAAAACACAAACATACATACATGAAAATTATTTACAAAGTTTGCTTCAATTTTAATGCAAAATAATCTCTTTTGAATTTTAAATTTTTTGAAATTTAATTTAAAATAAGTAAAAAGGAAAATTTTTTAATTCATCCATTGCTAATTTATTACATTAGTAAATCCAGTTTCTTAATTTATTTTTGTAATTGTACATTTATGGTTCTAAGATTGTTTTTCTTAAGTTGATTCTCGTCTATTAGAAAAGAAGATTCAAATAATGTTTATTCAAATCAAATTGTTAAAGGGATTCTTTAAAATTAACTTATAAAATGTTAAGTTGATTTTAAGCAATCCCTTTAACAATTTAACAAGCTTTTGATCTTTTAATACAAAATCAAATTTTTTGGCAGAAACTGAACTCAATTCCATTTAAAAATTAAAAAAATTAATGTTAGTTTGTGTTATTTATATAAATTATTTTACAGAATTTATTTAAAAATATTTGCAAAGAATTATTAGATAATTCAAATATCACCTATAATTAATAATTTCATGTAGATAACTAAATACACATATGCACATAAATTCTGTCCATGGAGAAATTAAAAACATAAAATTTTCTATTCATGATCAAAGAATATTTATTCTTAAGGACTTTGATTACGTAAAATATTGATTGTAATCATAGGGAAAAATACTTTAACAAAATGTACAGTAAAAAAAAAGCAAATTTCAATAATTTCAAAAGAATCCTTTTGAAATTTAGTTTTTTTTGTTTGTCTTCGATTCTGAATAATTCAAGTATTATTTGCTATGACATAAAATCTCTGGATATGTCATGAAAGAATATATTAAGTACTGGAAATAAAACAAACACACTCTCACACACAGAGCATACAATTTATTGTCTCTTATTCCATAAATCGAATAATGTACTATAAATTCTGTTAAAATAGAACTGACATTAAGTACAATCAAAAATCAATTTAAGTATTAAAAATATTTTAAAATTTTTTTTGATTCTGATTTTGACTTTTATCTTAATTTACAAAATATCATAATTAATACTAAAGTTTTTGAATATTCATTTATTTTTTTTTTATTATTTTATATTTTATTTATTGTTAAAGCTATTCAAAAAACTCAATATGAAAAATTCATTATCATTCAGCTATACATAACTAAAACAGAGGAAATTAAAAAAAAAAAATATTTTATTTTATATTTTAATATAGAGCTCCTATTGATGAAGGCAATGACAAAACAATTGTATTAAAAGATCGTTCTGTGACATCTGATGGTTTAGCTGTTGATTGGGTTTATAGTCATATTTACTTTACAGATACACATAAGAGCACAATTGAATTAATAAATTTTGATGGTAATATGGGTAAAGTCCTTATTGAAGATGATATGGATATACCAAGAGCAATTGCTTTAGATCCAATTGACGGGTAAGTTAATCATAATAATAAAGACAAAAACAATATTCAAATATTATTTTACAAGTATCTATATAATATAAATTATATTGACATACTTAATTTTAATTGATTTCTGTGTTTTAAATCCTTTGTATATGCTAAAATATTTAATATGAAATATATGCATTTGATATATTATTACCGATCTCATTGCATAAAATAGGGGGTTATGGGTGGTGGCGCAAAAAATTTCCATATCAAGTTTTCTGTAGAAACGCATTTCTACATAGTAGGAAAGCGAAAATAAACTATTTTTAGCGAGATATCAGGTTTTTGGTTTCTCTGAAATTATTTGCGCGTGCACAAATAGCCCGCATACATGTCTTAATTTCAATTAAATTAATTTTGATGTTAATGTATATCTGAGTTTATTTTGGTTATATCACGGATTAATAAACTTTTGACGTATGACAGGTCTTGGGAATTGAGTCTTTATTTCGGGCAATTTTTAAATTTTTTGCCATATATATAAAAAACCAATTGACGGAATTTCTTGAATTTTGTTATTTGAGTTCGGTTTACTAAATAAGACAAATTTCTTTTCCGAAATAATAGATTAACTTTTCAGAGAATTCGGATAGCAGGAAGTGAACCTCTACTAAGAACGAAATTTTAGTTTTTCTAGACATGTAAGCTTAAGGTTATTGAATGTAACTATGTAAATGTAAATTCAAAAATGTGTAAAATACATTTTCAAAATCCTGTTCAATACTTTCATCAAAACAAAAAATTGACTTTTCCGTCGACTATGAGTTGACCACATCAGATTTTTTTAGTATATTATAAATATACGATATTTAATATCAAAATTGATTTTTCACAAAGAGCTTATAATATGTGAATAAAGTTTTATGAAATTTTATAAAAAATAATTGAATTTTCCATTTGAAGAATTGCATTGTTTTATTTTTTAATATTATTTTTTTGAAAAAGATAAACATAATGCATAAAAAATTTTGAAAACACTTCAAAATATAATTTTAAAAAATATGATCCTTTTATATTGGAATATGCTACGTAATAGTAAAAAAGCTATTCAAATTTAAAAATAAAGAATTTACAAGGACTTATTGAAGGAGTAGCGCACATGATTTTTTGAAATTCTTTAAAATTGCTACCTTGAATATTATAGTTTTCAAAATGTTTTATTGCATATGATGATTTGTATGAAGTTAATATTTAGTTTTAGTTTTCAAAAACCGAAAAAAATATACGATATAATAATTATACAGATAGTTATCGTTGAAAGATTGCAGATAAAATTAATCATGTTTGGATTATATCATTTAAACTACTTAAAAACAAGCTGTAGATTATGATTATTAACAGCTAGTTTAATTTTAACAATATTTATTGTTCAAAAGAAAACTTAATTGTGACTTCACCCTCACTTTAATTGAATTTGATTTTTTCAAGGGAATCGAAAATGCCTTAAAATATTTCACTCCGTCAATATTATCTACATATATTTTAACTTTTTTATTAATGCTTGTATTCCTCACACATGACCGTCCAGACTACTACAGAGTAATTGATATTATTTGTAACTGAAGCATTGTTTTGAACTGAATTGAAAATCGTCTTATAGTGGACTAAGAACTAAACTTCATATTCAAGATTTCACATTTATTTTTTATACAAAATTGTGAAACCATGTACCGGAAGATATGTAACTACATCCTCAAAAATCTTATAAATAATTACATACTAGTTTCTTTTGTATGATGCACGTATTATTTATAGAGTCTTATATATGGTTAAATGGAACGCTAAAAAAATTTACGCTGGCAACTCAAAATACACTTAGTATGTCGGAATTTCTTATATTTTTTATACGAAATTTTGTGATAATTTTTATTTGAAAAAATTATAATAAATGTTTTAATTCAACAAAGTAACAAAGTATAAATTTTATCATCGAAAAAAAAAAACATTTATTTTTTTAACTTTTTCAATAAAAAGTTTAAATTTCTCTCAACAAAACTTTTCTAAGTTTTTTATGTTTCCCAAACCTTCAAAAAATAAGTTTTTAAATTTATAAAATATAAAGTAAATTTTTGATTATTAAAACTTGATATTTTTTTAACCTGGGTCATTTATATTTAAGTTATAACCCTAAAAAGACAACAAAATATTGTATATAATTCCTTGACAGTTCTTTATCTTGAATTGTAAGCTAAACACGTTTATTTTTGACCTATTTTAACTATTTATGTATACATGGTATCTTTTTTTTCCAAAAAATTCAATACCCTTGTTGTACCATATTGTTTTCATCCTTAAAAGAAAAAGCTAACTATATTATCAATTCCAATTACCTTGTTCGTGTTTTTTTAAAATTGCTTGTCTAATGCAAACTTCAGATATACATATTCAATATATGTATGTATGTATTTGAATATAGATGTATAAATGAAACTACATGTGCATTAATATATTATTAACTAAGTAAATATTTTGTTTATTTATTTTGTTTTTATATAAGCATATGAAAATAATATTTTTTTTTCTATATTGATATAGTTGGATGTATTGGACAGATTGGGGTGCAAATCCAAAAATTGAACGTGCCGGTATGGATGGTACACATCGTCAAGCAATTGTTACATATGATGTTAAATGGCCAAATGGTATAACATTAGATTTAGTTAAGAAACGTGTTTATTGGGTTGATGCTAAACTAAATGTGATTTCATCATGTAATTATGATGGTACTGATAGACGTTTAATATTATATTCATCTGAATCACTAAGACATCCATTTTCAATTACAACATTCGAGGATTATATGTATTGGACTGATTGGGATAAACAAACTGTATTTAAAGCAAACAAATTTAATGGTGAAGGTGTCGAAGCAATTACAGCACTTCATATGGTAAAAAAGATTTCTTTTTTTTTTTTCATATTTATTTATGTTTGTATTTGTATTTTGTGTATTTTTGATTATGATTTGATTGCGTGTGACCTTCATCCGTTTTTCGTTTTTTTTTTTTTTTTTTTGTGAAAAAATAATATTGAATTTAAGTATTATTTAAGTATGTGGGATTGAAAATTGATATACGTTATATGCAAAGGTGTATAACAACAAATGGTTATAAAATTTACATACAAGCATTCATTATAGATTACTTTAAAAACACAGAGAGAAAGAGAGAGAAAAAAAGGATCACAAAATATAAGGGATCATATTAATCTTAGTGGTAAAATTAAAATTAATTATACAAATGGTTGTGGTTTTTTTTCCGTCATTTAGAAAATTTTCAATTTTCCTTTTAGTCCGACAGAAAAAAAAGAAAGAAAAATCCGAAATTTTTTGTTAAACACAATGTCATTTATATAAAAATTTATTAACTTGTTGCAATTATACGAAATAAAAGGCGTTATTTGAATTTAATTATTATTTGAAAATAAAAAAAATATTTTGACTTAATAAAAATACCATTTAAACGCTAATACTATTGGTTTTAAAATGTTGAGATACGAAACTCAAAAATAATCTACATAGCGAATTAAAAATTTATTGCAAAACCTTTGTATAATTTTAAACATATTCTCTGAGATGACTGCAATACTGATACGATGTGGGTGAATTATCAGCAAAAAGGTGTTTGGAGAAAAGTAAAAAAACTTAATGTTTGAATAATTTATCAAAAGGATATTTATGTTTTTTTCTGAAATTTCAGTATGATGTTTTTGGTTTTGGTTTTCCGGCGTAAATTCAATATTATACCTACATACATATGAAAGATATCAAAATATTTTTGGATAATCTAAGGAGATTTATCATTTAAATGAAAAATTATGAAGTTTTAATGCCATAATCGTTAGTGAATTTCAATAATTATCCCAAATGTATGTTTGACATGAGGTTCTCAGAAAATCACGTATGGTGAAAATTTATTACGAATTTAATAACTTGGAAAACATGTTCTTCATTAATGCCATATTCTATTTCAAGAAAAATTTTTAATATTTTTGAAAAGACAGAATTGAAAAATTTTTGCTTAACAAAAAAACAATTCTCAAAATTTTCTTTTCCAAATATTTGTCTGAATGCAATTTTTAAAATTCAATTGAAAATTTGTTAGTATGTATATGTGTTTATGACAGTTCTGCTGAAATTTTATAAAATAAAAGATTGCAATATAAAATATATTCAATAATATAAGTAAATAAATTTCTTTTTGAATTGTATCAAATGTAAAAACACTTTGTTACCACAGTATTGATCTTTTAGAAATGTTATTTCTAAAGTGGTCTTAGTCTAGACTTCAAATGTCCAAATTAATTTTTTAGAATATTATATAATGACATATGTAGGTATTTCTAAGAATAATTTCTTACATTTTCCCTGTAATAAGTAAAAATGGTTGAATAGGTTGGTAATGGAACTGACTATGAAAGTACAAATATTCAATGATTTTATTAAAGAAATTTAAGCTAGTAATGATTTCATTACAATCTTAATTAATATAACCATAGAATTAAGAATTAAGAATGAAATAAAATTCATAATCCAATATTTAAAAAACATTTTTTGATTGGACTTAACCAAAGACTGTAATTACTAAGATTACGTTAAGGGGAAAAAAATCTTATAAAAATTTCAAAATAAAATTGAAATTCAAGAATCCATAAGCAAACAAAAATCAGCAAACAGATCAGATTTAAAATTAAGAAATAATTTCCAAATAAAAATGAAAATTCTTACGATTTAACCTTAAAATAAATATTAGATTTTATTTAATTATCATTTCTATCCTACATTCTATTAATTAATTACTTTTTCATTTAATACATTTTTTTTATGTAATTCTCATTTATATATACATAGGTATTTGATATCATCTTTTATACATATTTCTTTTTCGTATATTAACAAATAGGTTCAACATCCGATGACAATTCATGTATATCATCCATATCGTCAACCAGATGGCACAAATCACTGTCAATCAGTGAATGGTCATTGTTCACATTTGTGTCTACCAGCACCAAAAATAAATGAACGTAGCCCACGTATATCCTGTGCATGTCCAACAGGATTAAAATTAATGGAAGATAGACTGATGTGTGTTGAAGACAGTAAGTAAAATAATACAAAATTTATATGCATTTTATTTTCTTTGTTGTTTTTGAATGTTTTATAGTATGAAATACAGTATTAAGTTTCAATCAAAAAAAAAGCAAATAATTTGTTAGTCACAGATTTTACATTAAAGATTTTATAATAACATTGCTTTTTTTATTAATATTAAAGAAAATTTATAAAATTTGCATATTGGCGTTTAAAATTTTCGTCACTTATTTGTAATTATTGAAAAAAAAAACATAAGTGTTCTCATGAGACAGGATAATCTTGCAAAAAAAAAAGTTCCGAACTTACTAGAATTTCGTATAAGAAATTGTATGAATTTTTTGCACAATAAAATTTTTAATATTGGAAATTCGAAAATTGTTACATAATAAGCATATTTTTTTATGTAATTCCAAAATTTATAAGAGTATGTGGATAATAATTGCTTTGCGTTGCATTTAGTAGTTTTGTTCATTAAAACGATAAATGCCTTAGAATACATTTGAATAAAAAAATATTCCAGTGAACAATATCAGAGTATCTAGTTGATATTATAGATTTTAAAGAAAGACAAAACACTTACAAAAACTTTGCAGTTTGAATTTAGAACAGAAATTTTCAAAATCTAAAATTTTCAAATGAGCAAAAACACAATCGTATAAGAGCAGGACACGAACACTCTTACTTATTCAATAAAATATTAAAGTCAATAAAGGTTTTGGGTTTTTTTGGGGCTACTATATGTCCGAGAAATTTTATTGTGTAAAAATATTTTTGGAATTTATTTTCTTGATTCTTTAAATAACACCATAACTATACATAGAGTGTTTTCTACTTTTTATTTTGTAACTAAAAGTTCAATAATTTTTGAAATAATTTTTATTTTAATACTTTGTCGGTTTTCTATTTTTTCTTTAAATTTTTTTTTTTAATATTGGTTTTTTTTTTTATTTTAAATTTTTGTGTTTGCTTTTCATGTAACAAAATTGTTTATTAATTTTAAATTTTTTTTTTTAATTAAATTTTATTATATGTTTTGGCTTTCTTTTTTTCTAAATTTTTAACTATATTTTTGTTCTTTTTTATTTTTGTTCCAACAAACACTTTTTTTTTTGTTTTTGAAAACATTAACACAATATTATCAAAATCAAAATTTGGCAATGGACAAAAAAAAATCAATATAAAAAAAATTTTACATACATTTGTTACGATGTTATGAATGAATATTATGAAATTAGTAAAACCAACAACAATATCGCCATATCGAAGAAGAACTACAGTTTCACCTAATGTATTGGTAACAAATAAAACTGCGACGCAAGCTAATGCCAATAAAAATTCAGGAACATCAAGTGATAAAACTAAAACTTCAACAGAACTTAACAATGGTATGATATCGCTAAGAAATATACTAGAAAAAAAAAAAAATTTTTTTTTTTCAATATCAGCTTAAAAACTAAAATTCATTATACTTACTCTCTCTAAACTCATTCTCTGTATAAGTGGAGTTAATTGGTGCTGGATTATTCACCAAAAAAAAAAAATGTACAACATTCTATTTTCTAACTTTCACTTCATATAAAAAATTGTTTAATAACTTTGATTATGACTACCTTGCTTTTAGTAAATATCTAATTGTAATTTTCCATTTATTTTAATTAAAATTACTTAAAATAACTAAAATATCGCAATAAATTTTAAATATAATCATGGAATTAGGTCCTGCAATTACTCTTTACTGCAAGTACTCTTTTTTTTTATTTAATAATAGCTTCAGTAAAAAAATACTCAATAGTCACGAATTTACTAATCTTTAATTTATTTTAGAATCTTTAAGATTTGAATAAATGAAAAATTTAAAAATTTTCAGATTGACTTAAAAAAAAAAGAGAGGAAAGTTCAATAATATAAGTTAGTTATACAAAATTAAAATTACGTTGTTTCTCAATTTTACGTCTTTTAAATTGTGGAAAATCATATAATTTTTACCCTGTTCCACATATACATAATTGTGATAAAATATTGCCCACCCTTACGCGTTTTGAATTTTTTAAGTCGAAATTGTTCCCTATAGATAGGTGAATTTTGTTTACTAATATGACTAAGTAAACTTGAAATAGATACATAACACAACTGAGATGGAACATTAACCATGTAAATTTAATCTTTTGAAACATAAAAGTAGTAATTGTAAAAATTTAAATAAATTATATAGGTTTAAGGTTTTCAGGTACTATCCAAAATTTATACAATATAGTGATTACAAATATTTAAATTTCTGGCACTGGTATTAATATTTGACCGAAATAGGAAGTGGCATTGTATGTTTCTACAAAAAAACAAATTTTGGTTTCGATATTTTCCTACTTTTCGATTTAGAATATTTTTTTCAGTTTATTAATTTGATACTTTTTAATTTGTTTTTTTTTTTTTGTAAAAAAATTGGTGGTGTTGTAGCTATTTTAAAAAAGAAAATATGTCATAAAATTGAATTGAATTTCTAATTTGCAATTTTTCAACCAGGTGTCTGGAAATATTTCTAGTATATAATAAGTGTAGTGTATAATGTTTTTTAGTAAATTTTCTATTCTTCAAAATCTTTTTCTTCAATAAATTCTTCTTATATAACTTTAGCGTACTTGATTAATACAAAATAGGCACTTGACTTCTCAATAACTAACACTAACGGAGATATTTACATTTTCCATTAGTTTTGAGCAAGAAAATTTTTAAAAACGGACATACACATTAATTTTTACGTATATTTAATAAATTATAATAAAAACTTGCAATATGAAATTAACATAAAACTATAACGTGCTGGTTATAATAAGGACAAAGTGATAAATTATCAAAAAACACAAAAAATGTAAAAATTTTTCTCAAATTAATTCTCTGATGACCGTCATATTCGCTATACGGAATAATAATTATTATTGTGCTAATAAAAAATTATAAAATATTTTACTGCCATCTATAAATGTATAAATTATGTACATATTAAAATATTTAATGATAAATGTATGTATATTTATATATGTAAGTACAATTTGTAAATTGTTATGATTGTCACCTCGGTTTTCATTTAAAATTTCGAATAATAATAATATAAAATTCAATTTTTTTCTCAGTCCATTTCAATAAAAACTCTTATATAATAATATTTACCTATATACCTGTACATAGTTTAATAATTTTATTCCATGAATCATATTTAAATATCACCGTAATTTCATTAATAAGGACCTTTATTTAAACCCTCTATCATGAATATTAATCATGAGTAAATTTATGAACGCATACAATCATAGTACAAAAAAATAATAGCAAAAATAAACATAAAAAATGAAAAGAAAGAAGAAAAAAAAAACAATTTAAAAATAAAATATGACAACATTTCAAATCTCAACTCAATTACTAATTTCCCAATTCATGCATAATAAATTTTTATACTTAAATAATATTTTAGAGTAAAATATAAAAGTATTCAAGCAATAAAGAAAATAAACACAAAATAATAAAAATGAATTTTTTTTTTTTTTTAATAACAAAACATTCATATTTTGTTATAAAGAATAAAAAATTTAATTTAATATTTAGATCAGTGTCAAAGATGTAGTTGAAGTGTGATTGCTAAATTCGTAGAAAACAAAGTTTTTCCTCTATTTGCAACATCTTTTGTATCAACATCTTCTTCATAACTTGTTTAATAACTTTTACTTCTAAGTTGGTGCTAAGTTGGTTTCATATCGTGAAAGTTTTCAGCCTATAAATACTACCTTTAAAATTATTTTCGCGAGAGTATGTCTTATTTTATATGTTCTAGCAGAACTAGAATTATCAATGACAATAAATAAATGAGATATATGTGTATGAATGAAAATATCTTGGTTTCTTGAAATTCCTCTTAATTTTATGCCTCATTATAACAATGAAAACTTTAGCTATTTAAGCATAACTTAAAAGTGAAATCAATCATTATGAAAGATTTTCCTGCTTATAACTATAGTCTAGTGTTAAAGCATTTGCTGCTAGTCTCCAAAAATCTTTTTAATATAATTTTTTTAAAAAAATTATGAATTTATCGAGCGTTTGTTTTTATAAGAAATTCAAGCATTTTAAAATAACAAAAACAACTCTATGAAATTTAAATATTCAAATCCGATACCAGTTTAAATATTTTCGAATTACAACTATCAGCTTCGAAAATAAGTAATCTCTAGCGGATTGTAAATACATACATATTCAGTGAAATAAAGAAACCGTAATTTTTAAATTGTCACACAACGAATTTGAGCGTAAAACTCTACTCACTCGATTCGGAACCACAATTGTGGTAAAGGATTTCTATAAAATTATAAAATACTTTAAATAATTTTCCTTATTTAATTCCATTTCTTCTTTACAAAAATATTTTGGTTTCGTCTTGTTCGTCCTTTTTTATTTTTTAAACAAACAAGTTTTATATTTATTATTTATATTTACACTTTGGTTGGTCAATTTTTATATTTTTTTTTTTATTTGTAAATTATTATTTATTTTGCCAAATTTTATTTTATTATTTATATGTAAGAGCATATTCATGCATATACATATGAAATTTTAAAATTCATATATGTGTATGAATGTGTACGCATAAACTAATGGTAAATTACTTTAATTTTTTTTTTATTTTTTTTATTTTTATACATGTACATTTCATCATAAATTTTACTGGGCAATTCATCTGCATCGTAAATTTTTTTCATCGATTCTGCTTTATATGCCGTTTTCTTTTTATTTGGTTTATTATACCTCTTTTTCACAAAAAAAAAATATAATACGAACAAAAAACGGTATTTTAAAATTATTCACATAAACACGTATTGTTCTACTTATCGCATTTCATACAATTTTCCATGAACACACACCAATACACATGTGCATATAAATCCTTATATGTTTGTTCCTCACGATTGTTTTTGACATGGTTGTTAAATTCGAAAAAAATAATAATAATAATAACAACACATCTTTAAAATAATACTGCAGAGGCATCTAGTTATTACTCTCCATATTACGATTTATATTCAGATCTATATTTTTATACGATTTGTTCACAAATATTCAGTGATAATGAACTCAATAGTAATGATGAAAATATGATTACCTATGATATTGATATAAATAAATATGATGAAAAAAATTCAAAAGTAAAAACGGATGAATATAATCCTTTAAAAAATAAAGATATTCAATCAAAGGTAGATAAAACAGAAGATATTTACCTTATGAATAATGAAAATTTAAGAAATTCTTACAACAAATATGAAAATACAAAAGATTTTAAAAAGAATATTAAAAAAAGAAATGCTATATTAGAAAATGACTTGCAAAATCAAAATAATAATATGATATCGAATTTTTCGCATTTCGAAAAAACTAACTATACTAATAATTCAAATCATCATCTTGAAAGAAATTCACAATTACATGGAAATTCTTATGATTTAAAACGTAAAAACAAAATAAATGATAGTGGATCAGATCACACTATTTTAATAAATGAAAATAGTGATGTATCACATGGTAACCAAATAAAAATTAAAAATAAAAATTTTGATGAGATGAAATTCATCAGAAATCAACATAATTCCAAGTATAAAGACGTACCTATCATAAATTTAAAGCATAATAGTGAACAATTGGAAATCCGTTTCCCTAAAAATATGCAATTTAATTCAGATACAAAAAATATAGAAAACATAATTCAAAATAGTAACCTACTTCAACCTAAACTTCATTCAAAATATAAACAAAGAAAAGTTTTTAATTTAAAAATTATTAAAGATTTTCTAAAAAACTTTATTTCCTGGATTTACTCAATAAATTTTTATAAAACTTGGAAATATTACATTAATGATTCTGATAAAATTTTCAATAATGAAACAAATAATTATGATATTTATTCAAATTCTTCAATTCTCTACAAGGATAATTATATTGAAGGAAAAAATAAGAATATTACAGGAATCAACTTGTCCTATTACTCATTACAAAATATTATAGCATTAAGCAATACAATATCACCTTTAATTAACAGTAGTAGCACATCCTATTCTAAAGATGATAAAAATAAACCTTTTCAATTCAATAAAGAATACTTTTTGAATAATTCGATGAAATTAGCAAAAAATACTATTGATGAGCATAATGAGATTACTAACACAATTCCGAATGAAATTGTATCATCAGAAATGAAAATTAGAAATAATTTTTATAAAGAAAATTCTAAAGAGTATCAAATTGAAAGAAGAAAAAATTACTCAACCTTCAGACCAACAAACAAAAGAAATACATTACATATAAAACATTCAAAAATGCATTCTCAATCATCATCTAAAAAAATTAATAGTTCTTCATTTTCTAAAAAAAAAAATGAAAATATCATTTCAGATATTTTCAAATTTAAATTTGATAAAAAAATTTATTATACGATACCTTCACAGGTGAAAAATATTTTAAGAAATGATAAAATCAATAAAATATCATCATCATTATCATTATCATCTTCAGACTTAAAACATAATATTGTTACACTTTTGAATAGTTCTAGTAAAAATTCTACTTACACTAATAAAAAAAATCAAAATGAATCTTTACAATATTATAATGATGAAGAATTCAATGATAGAAACATGAACGATGTAATATATTATTATGATATTGATAATATTGATGATGGTCACGGTGCTAATGATAATGATAATAATATTAAAAGTAGAAATGATAATATGAATAATGATAGTAATAAATATAATGACTTTCATATTAAACAACATGATCATCATCAATATCATAATCATAATAAGTTTTCTCTTAAAAATCCGAATACTTCAATTATACAATTTTCATCATCTTTAAATACAAGTAGTACTAGTCATATTCCAATACCAATTTCAAATTTTCGAAATAATGATACTTTTATTAATAATACTATTACTATTACTACTAATAACAACATCAATATTATTGATGTATTAAAAAATACAAAAAATATACTAAAATTTCTTGACCGTAATGTCATTGATGAAAATATAAAAGAAAAAAATTCTAAAGATTTTGGTGTTAAAAAAAATCATATTGAAAATAAATGGAAAAGTAATAAAACTACTACTTTACGTAAAATAGAAGAAGAAAGCAATAAGTTAAAAAAAATAAAACAACCAAAAAAATATTATAAAAGAAAACAAATGAAATTGAAAAAACAAAATAAAATGAATGGGATAAAGTATAAAATGAGTAGAAAGAAGAGGTCTAATCAAGCTAATGGCAACAAAAATCAATCAAATAATTTTACTGACATGAAAAGGACTACTCAAAATGAGGACAAAATATATTTGAAATGGCTTTGTAAAAAGCTTAAAGCTAGAGGTTGTACAATAAACTCAATATTATTTATGTAGAAAATACCAAAAAAAAAAAAAAAAAATAAATAAAAATCATACAACAAAAAAAATTAACTTAAATAATACTCGTATAGTCTGTTAACACGTATAACTCTCCTGTATTATTATATATATGTGCAGTATATTATAATGTGTGTTTGTACTTTGGGACAATATTGTATACTTGAGACAAAATTTTCAATATTAATACTAATATGTTTTATTTTCACACAAATGTAGACATACCAGGTTTTTTTTTTATTTTTCTCTGTTTTTCGTAACATAACATGGCAAATGAATGTTTTGTAGTTATTTTGTATTTTATCCCAACTTTAAATAGATTTTTCGTTTATAGGTTTAAATTTATTATATATATATATACATATAAACATATACATTACACACATGTATATTATTTGGTTTCTGTTCTTGTTTCGTTTGTTTTGTGTTCTTTGTCCTTGTTTTCAAAGTAATGTGACTCTGAAGGACACATACGAAAAAAAAAAAAATGTTTTTGACTAAAGGGAGAATAACAAAACAAAATATAAAAAATTATATTTATTATTTTTTGTTATTTGTAATATTTATTTAGGAATATATTTAATTTTATTTTGTATGTTTTCCTTAGGATTTAAAATAATGTATTTTTTGTATTATTTCAAAAAATTATATTTATGAAAGTATATGCTGAAAAAAAATGGATACCAATAATATGTGTGCAGTGCAATATGTCCATATTATATGCGCTATATGATTTAAATGATTTAAATGAATACTAGAATGGAGAATTTGGAGATTTAGAATAAAATATTATCGAAGTTTTAAATATTTATTAGCAGAACTGCTTTGATATAAAAATAAAATTTAGTATTTTATTTATTCACATGTTCGTATTACAATGAGTTAGGCAGGAATAGTGAATGTCTTGTTATTGCATTCTAATTATCGTATTGTTTTCACAACGCTATCTCGTATACATTTTATCAATGTTTTTAGACCATTAAATGGAAATGAACCAAGTGATTTAAATCGTGTGCTGAGTATAGTGAATTTTTTTTTATAGTACAATAAATTCAAATTCAAAATTCCCTTCATATAAATGCTTCAGTGAAATCAAATAGCATAAAACTTCTAAACGAAGTGACTTAATGAAAATGAAAAACTTTTTTCCGTCATATAAGAAAAATTGAAATATTTAAAAAAAATCTTCTTGTTTCTATCAGTATTTTTGAAGGTATGCCTCGTAAAGCTAAACTGTTACCCAACTAACACATTGAAAATAATAAAATACATAATGTTTATTTATTTATTATTTCTTTTAATTTTGTATGTTGTTAAATTTATTTCTATGGAATCCTTTTTTTTTCATATTTCGTAAAAGCTAAAATAATATTGTGAAAATAATTATTATTAATATACATTTAATATATGTATGGAAGTGTATATATACTGCACAAAATTAATTGAAGCTTATCCTTATCTTATCCAAATAAGCAGTAGCTATTATTAAATAAGAAAACACACGTTTCTTTGATCTACAATATGTAATTATTTCCTTTCTAAGAATCTATTAAACAAATTATGTTTGCTTACAAGTATAATATTTTTATACTGTGTATATAATTTAATCAAAATTACACCATCCGTTATAAATATTTCTCTGAAATTGAAACATTAAAATTTAAAGACATATGTATTGAAGTATAACAAGAATATATTAAATTAATCCTGTAATATACGTACGAATAATATTGATTCTATAATTATTGGAGTCTCACAAAATAATTATTGTTAAATTTATTTACAAATTAAATCATTGCAATTTTAATATTTAATTAGAAAATTAATTATGAATTTAATTAGAAATTTTTATTATTGAAGTGATATGGCAGCTACCATAAGATTGGACCAAAATGCTATTAGCTTACAAACTTGTAAATTTTAAAGATTTCTTTTAAATTTAATTTTAATCCTAATAATCTTAAATAAAAACTTTTTTTTTTATTTTTTTTTTTACTCTGTTGTAAATTTATATTTATTGTACATTGGTGAATCTTATATTAATTTACATTTTTTTTTTCACTTCTGAACTGGTTTTTCCAAATAAAATTAAATACTTTTCAATTTTTTTTCCTCCCATTTTTCTTTTGATGGTTTACTCATCTAATCTGGAAAAATCCATTGAATTATGGTTATGAAAAAAAAAATTGTAATAACCGTAAAAATGAAGCTAACAAAGAAAAACTTTCATAATTTAATAAAAATATAAAAAAAAGAAAACAAAAAAGAAAATTAAAATCTTTATGGAAATTTAAAGTAAAGAAAGAAAGAGATAAAATATCTGTTTCTTTAACTAGTGTAATTTTCGGTGTTTCTGATGATGGATAAATAAATTGTAAAATATAAAGTTGCCTTCGGTTTCACTGTTTTAAATTTTGTATTATTATTCGTTCTAGAATTTTTATTTATAAAAGAATAAAATTTTAAAAACGCTTAAGCACGTTGATTTAAGCACGTACCTAGAAAAATAAAAATTATTAACATTCCCATGAATTTACTTACCCAAATTATTTTCATAATCTTTAAAATAATCACTTATTTCTTTAATAACGAAATGCTTTCATTGACCTAAAGAACAAGGCTACCTGTATGAAAGGTTGTGATTTTTAATGAAAGCATAAAATTGAATTTTTGCATACGGCTAGGCGTATTTTTCTTAGAATTTTTGAAATTAAATCAATTCTTGATTTGGAATAAAAGAAATAACTCTTCTGAAACTTAATAAGTTTCATAATGGCCTTTTGGATGAAATAATAGATAAAAGTTTAGAAAGCTATTAAATTTAACTTTAGATACAGCCTTTTGCGTATTGGAAAATTACATGACATTAACATTTAAATATTTTTGCGCCTAATTGAATGCAATAATTTATAGTTGGTACTCGACTTATTTGGTATTTTTGTGCCTAATTTTTTTTTATCCATTCTTGTTAAGATTTTTCGTACGTTTTCGTTCTTTTTTAAGTGAAGTAGCTATATGAAAGAAAAAAAATTCATAATTTTTTTATATAAATTTGTATAATTCTTTGAAGTTTAAAATTCAATTTTGCTTACATATTTACAAAATTATATTTGCATACAAATTATAACTTTATTTTTCCTTTATATCAAAATTATACCGAGGAAAGCATCTCATTTTGTTTACTTAGTTCACATTTACAAAACAAGAATCTGTAATTTTTCATTACTTAGATATTAAAAGTTTGATTATTTATGTTGTCTTTTTGACGACCGCATTGCATGCAATAAGGTGGGTTATGTGATCACACCGTATTTCAAAAATCGTGTTTTCGATGGAAACACACAGTGTAAAGAAGTGGAAATAAACTATTTTTAGAGAGATGTCTGTCTGTCGAATTGTGTGTACAGGCATGTATTTCGGCATCGGCTGAACCGATTTTGATGAAATTTTATGTATGGGCTTGTTTTCGCTATGCCACAGATTAATATACATGTGCAATATGTCAGGCCTCGGAAAATATAGTTTTTAATGGGCCGATTTTATACTTTTGGGCACATATAGGGCACATGTACATAAATCAACCGGTTTTCTTGAATTTTTATATAAAAATTCACGGTGTTAAAGTTACGAACTCATACATTTTGAGTAAAAATCTGATGTAGTTATGACTAACCACATGTGATTTTTACTCATCGAGTGAAATATTATTTTTTTCAATGTCATTTGCAAGTGATAAAAACTTTTTCGTATTTCGAATCTCGTTGTTCAAAAGCCTTTTTATTTTTTTCACAAATATCCTAGCTTGTGTATATATATATAAATATAATATTTATGTACGTAAAAGACAGAAAAGTTGAATTGTATAAAATAATCGTACCCGTAGCATTACAAAAATAAAAACCATAATGATAATATAAACTCAAAACAAAAAACAATAAGGACTCATAACAAATTAGGGATGAGAAAGAAAATGTTTTAAGATTTTATTTTTTTCTTATATAAAGATTTTAAAAATTATATTTAAATGTTTAACTTTTGTATATTATTTTTGCTAAAAGAAAATGCATTTGACGCTATAGTGATTTATTTTTTTGACATTTTGACAAATATTTTTACAATAAAAGGAAAATTATTTTAAAAATTTTGAAAAATGAAATAAGGTTAAGTGTTCATTGTATAAATTGTGTTGATTTTTCAACTCTATGTTTCCTTTTATGTTTAATATAAAATCAAGTGCTACATTATACAATTCATATTGTCATCATATACAAAAGAAGGAGCTCTTTAATATTAAAAAAAAAAAAGTAGGTTTGAATTATTACGAATGAAAACATAAAGAGTTTTTTGTTTTCAGATACTTGATCATATTTCTATACCACACAATAAGCCCTTTATATTCATAAATAATATAATTAAATATATACAGCACTAGAATTTTCATGCTTTATGCTTTTATAATTTTATATAGAATTCTTGACCGGTAAACATTACTTTTATATGAATTTAGTATTCTAGGTTCTGACCTCTATATTAGAATTTGAAATAATTTTAAAATATTACATATAAAATAAATTTTATGTCTTTATTGTAGGTTAAATAAAAATTTCAAATTACATCATAACTTTTGTCGATGAAATTTTAATGTTGTATAATAGCAAGTTATAATAAAGACTTAAAAGCTATTTTTAAAACAGGTAATTATAAAAATTCACTCATACGGCTATGAAAATAAAAAAAAAATAGTTCATTATTAAATTATTCTCGTGGATTTTTTTTGTTTTGCGTTTTGAACTCTATTCTGTTTTGTCTTTTATATTTGTGTAATAAATTACATATTGCTTTTTTCTGTTCCAGTAATACCTGGAACAAGAAACAGCCTCATCTCTATGATTTTTTATGATTAATATGACGGTTTTTAGAAGATTAGCTATTCGACACGAAATAGTTACTTATAGAAATTTGATT